GGGGGGTTATTGACAACAGTCATGCATGTTGATTTTAAAAGTGTGCATGAAAAATAAAAAGTATACTCGTTTGACATTGCGTATTTTACGACAGAAGCGGTTAAACTGCGTAAAGGAAACCCTGCGTGGCTAGAACTGGTTTTCTTGGAAGGATAGTTGACGCATTTTCTGCATGAACGGAAGAAAATGCGTACGACATTCTCATTTCCTACTTTATACTGCTTTCTTTAAAGAAGTTATTTATCTTTTTTAAATTAAACAATTAATCTAGAATCTAGAATCAAAACATAATTTTAAGCGCCTACGCAACGCTCCCCAGATTGTATAAACATATATTTTTTTGTTGTAAAATATGATAAATTATGATAAAATATGATATTGTACAGTATTTTTATTATTTTTCTAGTTTCAAGTATTTTCTATTTTTTTAATATCAAACATTTTGATGTTATATTTGGTATATTTAGATTAGACTCTTGTTTGTCTAACTTTAAAAGTATTTATATTTAAGAGAGAAAATAGTAAGATACATAATATACAACAGGATTCCATTAAATATTAAGTTTAAATTAAAGTGGAGTTTTAAAGATTATTAAAGAATTTCTAGAAAAAAAGTTAACAAATTAAGAAAGTGAGAAAAGTAAACAATAAATGGATAAAAGTGTAAATAAAGAATGGGTAACAATGTAAACAAAAAAGGGTAAAAATGTAAACAAAAAATGGGTAAAAATGTGAACAAAAAATGGGTAAAGATTTAAACAAAAATGGGTAAAGATGTAAATAAAAATGGGTAAAAGTGTAAACAAAAATTGATAAAAAATTGAACAAAGAATGTGAACAAGGAAAAAAAGAATATGATAAAGGAAAAAAAAATTAACAAAGAAAAAATTTATTTTTGAAAAAGTGTAGAAAATTATAGAAAAATAAGGGGTAAAAATGTAAATAAAGAATTGGAAAATATGAGAAAAATAGGTGAAAAATAAACAAAAATTGAGAAAAGAGTAAACAAAGAATAGGTAAAAATGTAAACAAAGAAGAGAAAAAAGGAAAACAAAACTGGATAAAAAAGTAAATAAAGAAAGGTAAAAAAGTAAATAAAGAATTAGTATAAAGTAAAACAAAAATAAGTAAAAATGTAAACCAAGGATTAGTAACAAAATAAATAAATCATTAAAATCTATTTTAAAAAAGAAAATATTTTTCCACAAAAAAGTAAAAATAGATAATCAACACATTTAATTCTAGCCTTTTGTTGAGTTAACTTAAAAAATACTTTTGAATTATAAAATATATTTATACAAACAATGTCAGTAAAAAAATAAATTAAGTGTTTAGTACTTCTACTACGTACTGAGATAAAAAAGGAAGCGAAGTTTGAAAGTGCAATTAGAAAGTAAAAACTACAGTATAAAAGTGCAATCAGTATATAGATAATGAAAGGACAGTATTGAAGGACAAGTAGAAAAATGCAGAAAGTACGGTTTGAAAGTAAATTCAACTACCTACTGCAATGAGAAAGTAAATAATTAAAGTACACTCAGAAAAGTACAAGATTAAGGTACAATCGGATTTTCCATCAAAAAGTGAATAAATAAAGTACAGCTAGTTCAACATAAAGTTACAATCAGCCATCAAAACTGGAAAGAATAGTATTAAAGTACATCAGTTAGTTTAATCAGAAAGTACAATATCAAAGTATAATTAGTAAGTACATAGTAGATTATCAAAGTACACACATTTGATGTAATTAGAAAGTAAAGCATGAAAGTGAAATCAGTTAATTTTAATGAAATAGTAGTAGTATGAAAGTATATTTAGAAAGTACTAAAAACAGAGGCACACTTAGAAAGTAGTTTGTAGAAAAGGATCATTAAAAACCACAGCCCAATCTCTAGATTTATGTAAACGTACATTTAGAAAGTAAGCACGTACCTTTCAGCTTTGTCAATGCATTCCCAATTTTAATGAAAGGAAGAAAGGAAGTAACTGCAGAAGATGAGGTAGTCAAGTTTTTTTTAAATCTTGAGAAAAATCACATTCTTAAAATCCTGCAGATAAAATAAAAATTCACTTCCACTAAATCTAAATATTTTATCACCTCCAAGTAAAATGTGTACACTATATGCAAAAATAAAACTTTGTACTGAATCTAGGAAGAAAAGCAGGTGCGCGCCTTTAGCTATACGCGCGTAAAGGTCGAGGCACACTAACATATACGCGCGTAGAGAAACACACACGAACACAACAGCTAGGGGTGTAGGAGTGTTGCCATTCAAAAAAAAAAAAAAATTAAGAACTGAAACTCTTTTTTATTTTATACTATTCTAAAAACGAGATTTAAAGAATCCCTTAAATAAAATATAAATTAAATAAGATATAAATTAAAAATGATTTTGAATTCTCAAAAACATTATTTAGTAAACGACATCATTTTATTATTTTGAGAATAATGGTGGTACCCCATGGTTGAAGTTTGACTGGCAGGGTGTCCCCTGTAAAAGTACCAAAGTCAAGGACGATTCACAGGGGTGCAGTAGATTCAGCCAGGGCCGGTGAGGGGATAAACTGGGTCTGCTTATCCTATCCAAACCTTCATGTTCCTCGCCAACTAGCCAGCAACGTGAATATATTTGGTGGAAATTTTCACCCAGGGTTTTATAAATTCGCTTTCCAAGGATGATATATATTAGTATAGAGATACTTGATATTCATATTTACTAGATAGATAGATAGAAAGAAGCTGACGTTGAAATCTCTAGTTTACACAGGTCTATATAGGCCAAACTAACAAAATAATATGATTAAATATATAATATTTATACGATACGCCCTGCGGTTTTAAAACAGATGGGCTGGGGGGCTTTCCACGAAGGGAAAAGAAAGGGGAGGGGGTGCGACAAACACTGATACGCAAAAAAACGATGAGAATTTATCCGATAACTACTTTTAAAAAATCTTTTTTTTTATTCCTTTCCTTTATCTTATCGTTCCTTCCTCTCTACTTCTATTTTTATCTTTCTCTTCTACTTTCTCCTTTTCTCTCTTCTTACTTTTTCTTTCCTGATACCCTTCTTTTTTTGTTCTCCTTTTGTTCTCTTCTATTCTTCTATTTCCTGTTATCCTTCTCTTCTATTTTCTGTTTTCCTTCACTTCTATTTCCTGTTCTCCTTCTCTTCTATTCCCTGTTCTCCTTCTCTTCTATTTCCTGTTCTCCTTCTCTTCTATTTCCTGTTCTCCTTCTCTTCTATTTCCTGTTCTCCTTCTCTTCTATTTCCTGTTTCCCTTCACTTCTATTCCCTGTTCTCCTTCTCTTCTATTTCCTGTTCTCCTTCTCTTCTATTTCCTGTTCTCCTTCTCTTCTTTTTCCTGTTCTTCTTCTCTTCTATTTCCTGTTCTCCTTCTCTTCTTTTCCTGTTTTCCTTCTCTTCTATTTCCTGTTCTCCTTCTCTTCTATTTCCTGTTTTTCTTCTCTTCTATTTCCTGTTCTTTTTTTCTCTATTTCTCCCCTTTAGCTACCTTCTTTTCTTTTCTCCTTTTCTCTCTTTCATATTTTCCCTTTTTCTCCATTCTCTATCTTTCCTTTTTCCCTTTTTCTCCTTTCTCTATCTAACCTTTTTCCCCTATTGTTCTCTTCTATTCTTCTATTATCTTTTCTCCTAACATTCTATTTTGTTTTCTTCCTCTATTGTTTTCTTTCCTTTTCCCCTTCTCTTTTATTTCCTTTTTACTTCTTTTTTCTTTCCTTTTATCTTTTTTTTTTTTTTGGTAATTCATTGTTCAAACCGTACAGCACATGGTGTAGAGAAGGATAATTTAACACTAAAATTCTAGTTTTTATGGTTTTTACTGGGCACGCTGCAATTTCTGTAATTTCACAAATTTCGCAGTAAAAATTAGCACAATTATTTAAGCCCTTAAAAAATGATTTCTTGGTTGAAGGATTTAAAAAAGCCCGAATGTGTAGTTATTTGTGATTCTAGAGCGTGAGGATATCACAGATAATCTATCAGTATTTGTCAATTACTCCTTTAAAACTAAAAAGCTAGAAAAAGTTTTGCCAGGACTACAAGTATTCGTGAAATAATAAGTATAGCCAATTGCCAAGAGGTCGCGAGTTGCGATACTTCAACGTCGACCAGGTCTATAGATAATTGAATTTAGAGCTCTCTGGATCTCTGTAGTACATAATTAGTTTATTGTACAGGGTGTCCTACATCAAATTAGACCGCGTCAATGGATCTAAATTACGATTTGGGTGACGTATATCAGAAAATTTAAGAAGAATGAATCATTTTGAAAAATTTAATGAGGCTAATAGAATTTTTTTTTTTGCAGAAAATGCTAGATTTTTCGAGTATCATGTGCGTATTTTGGCGTTAAAGATTTGAGATATAATCTAATATGATATGGGACGCTCTGTAGATAATCAATACTACAGGAGAAGAAAGTTCCAAAATGTATTTTTGCCCGAACCTGACACTCAGATATTCGTTTTTGAGATACAAAATACTTTGTAACCATTCTGTAACTATCATAACGATCATAGGAATCATAGCAGCTTCAAAAAGCTAAAAATCTCAAAATATTTGTGTTTCCACTCCACATGTGCGTGTGATGTGTCTTTTAGTATAGTTCCTTTATTCCAGAAATCTATTTTTTGTAGTAAAATATGCCTTGTTGGCGGCTTCAGTCCTCAAAAATCCAGTTAAGTGTGCAAAATACCTGTAAACTATTCTCCTAGTTTTAATATGGGGACAAGGTACGGGATGCTCTCTGAGTAAAAGCAGCAAACATTGTTATGAATAAAAATTTGTTCAACAGCCGGTCGTATCGTCTAAAAGGCAGTTTTATCCTAGAAAATGGATTTCCAAAGCCTGAAGTCGCCTCAACGAATTAGTCAAGCCCAACAAATTAGTTAAGTTAGTTTGACTTTTTATCTTGAACAAATAAGTTGCAGGAATTTCAGAATAACTATTGTTCTAAAATTTTTATTTATTCAAAATGTCCTGCCTTTTAATTCCGATCCCAAGTGTCCAAAAAATTTTGTTCCAAGAATTTTTTTAAAAACATTATGCTGTGTGCAAAATCTCATCGACATGGGGAATAGACACTATTATAATTGTCAAAAATTGTCCATTTTGCGTTGAAATAATTTTTTAAAAATGCTAATTCAAAAAGTTTCTTTAAACTATACTAGTCTCAAAAGTTACTTTGAATCATACTAATTTCATTCAAAAGTTTATTAAAATTACCATTTTCGAAAAAAATTAAAAATCTGATGAAAAAATAAAATAAAATTTATTGCACAACATGACAACACTGATATGTAATTATAACACTGGTGGTGTAGCTCTTAGAGTACATTAAATATGTAACAAATTACAAAAAACTGATATTTAAAGAGATCTTTAGAATTCCAGACCATTTGAATCACAATATGATCACACAGGACGAAGGTAAACAATGTTTTAAAAACATGTAAAATGTGAAAACGAATACATTTTTTATAATGAACCAAATGCTTCACATTAACCGTTAAACGTCAAAGCACATGCGCCTCAGAGTTCATCGCACATTGTCAGGAAATGTGGAATCAGCTCTTTATAAGCAATAAGGCGGGCATCAGAACCAGTTCGATTTGAAACATTTTTAATTTAATTTTTATGATTTTTCGATATTCTTTTACAGAAAGCTAAAATATACTGTTCTAATAAGAGAAAATAATGCCCAACCTTAAATCACAGAAGTAGATAAACTTCTGAAAAATACAAAAATGCTATAATTAACATTTGATTCTAGAATAATTTGATTCTTCAGTTTTAACGGTAAGAATATGGGGAACATGATGACATAAAATTTATAGAAAACGCTGACAATTAGATTATTTTAAACATGATTAGAAGAATAACAAAAGCTGGAAAAAGCACCAGAAATATAACATTTAAGATAATATTACTTTGATCTTATTCAGAACAAATACAATCTTTGGAACAACAGTTAAGTAAAAACTTCACCTTTTAGGAGATTCTTTTCGAATAAAAGCTTTGAAAGGAATATTAAATATACAGCCACAACCTTTAGTAGTCTAATAATTTATCATTAAAGAGACTATAGACGTTATTCAAAGTGAGTCTACATTTATAGAGTGGCATGTACGATTTAAAACGGCACATTTAAAAGCTTTGCTTTAGTAAGAATGCATGAAATATCGACCATATTCCCTTTAAAGTTTTTTTCTCTTCAATTTTGGTTCCTTTGTCAACAAACATTACGGGAGTAAAAAATGTAAGAATTAAACACTTTTTAATCTAGAAATACGACGACATTTCTCCAATTCTTATTCAGAAAAAGCTTACAGGGTAGCGTTGTAAAACGAGCACGCCTCTTCAAAGATTAAAGATTAAAGATCACTTGAAATTACAACGACAATCACTTTATTTTTCATTAAGCAGAATCTTTTGAACCGACGGCCTCCATAGTTACTTCTGACAATCCGGCCTCAGTAGCAGTACTAGATCCACAGGCTGACTCATTGGAGGCTTCAATTGACCTGACTGATGAAGCCTCCTTATGCGTATCACTAGCCTGGGCCGACTCTGATTCTACGTTTTGCTTGGGGTCGCTGTCAGCTGAATGTTTCATCATTTGCGCGAATAGCGCGGCAGATTTTTCCTTCTCCTGGACAAAAATGGAGACACACTTCTTCAACTTGACAAGAAGGCAGATTTGAGTGAGAAGAATATGGCTGGCACGCTTCCATCCAGCCTATAACACACGACATTTTGGCTTTCTGGATCTAGATCCGGATCCTCAAAAATATGCGGATCCACGGATCCGGATGCAAGGGAAAATTATGATTAAAAATGCAAGAAAAATTTTTTTGCTCTCAAAACCCAAATCTAAGCTGCTGAAAATAGCGAGATTATCAAAATCTCTTTTTGGTTCATCGAGTTTTAGTTTTAGCATAAGTAAGCGAAAAAGAAGAAAATAATTTGAAAATTCTTATTGTGTTAAAAAAAGTAAATCGGAAAGAAATGTTCATATCCGGATCCGCATCAAAATTAAATAAATCCTAAGCAATGCATTTATTAAACATGAATAAGCGATAAAAAATAAATATATTAAGTTAGTAAAAATATCCAACCTGATGTTTGATGAACCGTTTATAGATGATAAGGAGACGCTGCTGAACCTGATCAATAAAAATTTAATCTTTAAAATAAATAATTTATTTTTTACAAAAAAGAAGTTTGACTCAGTATGGATAGTTTAACAACTTCTTAAGCGTTGTTAAAAGTGCACNTTACTTTTTCACTTACTCAAGCCCGATCGGTTCAGCCGTTTTGACGTTTATTGGATACAAACAGACAGACAGACAGACAGACAAGCCAAATTTATATATAGATGATTTCTATATCTGCTGATAAAAAAACATAAGAACTAGCCATAGGATATTTTAAAAATCGATTTTCATTGTACACTGAGCCAAATCTGCATGCAACTAAACAATTCCGTTTTTTCGACTTGAAACCCTTCAAACAGCACTTTTATTTTGATTTTTTTTACTGTACCCACTCCCGTAAACCCTGAAAAAATAAAAGTACCCCCCCCCTCCCTGACAAAAGTACTAGTTGCGCCCCTGCTTCAAATTACCGTCTTAATGATTTGTATATCTGCTGCGCTAAAGGTTTTGTATGCCGGACTGTCCTCCTCCAGATTAAAGAAGGAAATAGCGAAGAGTAAAGGAAACAATCTAACATCCATACCTACACAAATATCAAGGTACATTATATTCAATCTGACATCCATACCTACACAAATATCAAGGTACATTATATTCAATCTGACATCCATACCTACACAAATATCAAGGTACATTATATTCAATCTGACATCCATACCTACACAAATATCAAGGTACATTATATTCAATCTGACATCCATACCTACACAAATATCAAGGTACATTANGGGGGGGGGGGGGGGGGGTATGGAGATTGAAATAGTTAAAAAAATTAAAAACCCCATTGTCGAAAATCAAAGGAATGGGATTAGAATTTGTCCCCCCCCACCCCCTACCCAAATTTTCCAGGGGGACATACCCCCTCCCCAACAAAATGTGCAACTTCAAAAATGTGTTTAATGGATTTCTAAAAATATATTCTTTCCCAAACTAATTTCATTGATAAAGTTTAAAAGAGTTTATTTTTTAATGCATAATTATTGTCAGTTAATGTTTTTACCATCTTTTTTCTGACAATTTGTATTTCTACCTACAAGAGTTTTTCCAATTTCTCTCGTTAGTTCCTTGTGATCCTGCTGGGCCTGAGTAACCTTCATCCAGGGAACACTGACACAAATTCAGATTAGAAAATTAAGATGTTTTGACTTGCCATCTGATGGTCCATTTTTAGCAGAATGTCAAAGGCACTTGAACTTTTTAAGGAGTTTTGGATATCAAGGCTTGGCCTTTTACTAATGTCAATTCAGGCATTTTTGGTAGGTAGGTAGGGTTATAGAAGATATGACACCTAAGTTTGGATATCCCTGTTTAGCCCTTTTTGAGAAGACCCATCTTTAGTTTTACCCTTTTCAAACCGACATCTCTGCATTAATATTCTGCAAAAAATTGCAAATTTTCTTGCCAATGATAAACAAAAAATGGGATAAACATGACAATATATTAATTTTGAAAAGCGAAATGTGTACTCAACAAAAAAAATTCTTCGCAAAAATTGTGCAATCTGCTTCCTTTTATGAAAGGTTTTTAAAAGATCTATGCTATAAGTTGTTGAAACCCAAAAACCGGAAATAGCAAGGTCCCGGGACCCCCCTTAACGTTAAAAAAGTATTGGTTTGAGGCGGTGAACATTTTTTGACTTTTACCTATATTAGAGTAAATCTATATTTAGACCTACTTTTTTACCCCTTTTCAGAGATAATTCTTCAAAATGGTGTTAGGTACTTTCTCAAAGGCATTTTCCCAAGGGCAACTTTCCCAAGTGGCAACTTCCCAAGTGATAATTTCCCAAGTGACAATTTCCCAAGTGGTAACTTCCCAAATATGCAATTTCCAAAGCGGCAACTTCCCAAATGTATATTTTCCCAAATGACAATTTCCCAAGTGGCAAATTCTCAATGAAGGAAAAACTGCATTTTCCCCATGTAGGAAGTATTAAATATATGAACATTTAAGTTTTACATAAAAAAATAAATTTCTCAACTTTTTTTTCTAAAAAACAGGCAACTTATAAGCTAAGTGGGCGAGCACTGCAGCTATTACTTATTTTAAAGAAAATATGGTAAATTATTTAAGGTTAGATTAGGCCTCAGGGGGCAATTAACATTTGGAAACTGTACAATTGGGAAGTTGCCACTTGGGAAATTGATAATTGGGAAAATTTACAATTGGGAAGTTGCCGCTTTTCCTTCATGGGGTAGTTGCCACTTGGGACATTGTCATTTGGTAAGTAGCCGGGAAGTGTACACCCCTATATACAAGGTTACTCACAATGGATTAGACTGAAAAGACGACTAAAGATCATTAAAATATGACGAAAATAAATCTTCTGTCCTAAATGTAGCCTTTTAACGGCTTACTTAAAGATTTGGAAAGGAAAGAAAAAGGTTTTAAGTTGCAGGGAATCGTATATACAAGATACGAGACAATATGAAGTCTCATCCTTTGTAGATAACCCTGTATATTAATAATGTGATACCTGTAATAGAAATCGTAGTTCATCGGTGGTAAAGACATAGCATCAGGTCTCATTTGAAGTATATATGTTTTCATGTTTATACTAATGCCAGTTTGCTCCTCCTAAAGTATACAGGGTTACCCGAAAATCATGAGACTTTATCTTAATTCTTTATCATAAAAAACTCGTTATTTTAGTAGTCATTCAAGTCCAATCCTTTGTGGGTAACCCTGTCGTTTATTTGAAACCGAATTCAACCGGGGAGAAAATATAAGATAAAGTGACACGAAGCGTCTCAATTTCTGTTGGGTATGGATTTTATAAACTTTAATTTGGGGCGCATATATGAACAAAGTTATAAATTGGAATTTCAAGATTTGTTCTTTTTCTATATTTTCCAGGGGGGGGGGGGTCTCCTAATCCCAAAGCGGATAATAAATTAGTCAGAACTCCTCCTTTACCTCGTTTGAAGTATAAAGTTTTTATTTCCTACAGTAAAATATATTTTAAAGTATAACATAAAACATTTCCAAATTTAAAATCGAAAACAGTATATAGTATAAAGTTTGAAAGGATATATTACAATATGTCCATAAACATCATATCCATAATTCTTCAAAAGGAGTGGAATACTAAAATTGAAATATATAAATATAATTAAAATTATTGAAAAGAGTCAATAAATATTATTAAATAGTAGCAATTCCGGGATTTTCCACATGTTGTCTTTATTTTTATCCACCTCAAATTTTTACAATTAGATAAGACTAACATTGAACATCGAGTTTTTTTCATTTTTAACTTTATTTAAGTTTTCTAAAGTTTTGAGTGGAGTAAAGAAGAATCGGAGATGTTTTCATATTTAAAAACTAGCTGAAGTGCGCGGCGTTGCCCGTGGAATTCAAAAACACTTAAACAAATTTTGAATAAAAAAATCTATTTTTCTGGCATGTTACCCCCGGGCTACCATGCGCTCCTTGCCGTTTGGCTAGGGCTAGGCAAAATTCCGTTACCGAACGGCAAAAACCGTTAATTTTTAAACCATTGACGAAATGGATGAGCCTTTTTTGAAAAAAATTAAAGGTTGAAAACGAAAGTGATTTTTTTTAAAAACTGAATTTCGTTTTTTTCTGCTTTTAATTGCATTAGAGATTAAATATTAAATTGCAGAAAAGGGTAAATTTAGTTTAACTAGAGTTACGATTTGACAAACCGTTAACACCATTAATGCTACAAAAGACCGTTAACAAATGCAGGTTAACATATTCATAACGAATTATTTTGGCGCTTTGCGCCGTTAATAACAAAATAGAACGATAGAACTGGAGCCGTTTATGATTGTTGAAATTTTTTTGTTTAAGTCGGTAAAAAATGAGATTGTCAACTATAACGGTAATTTAAAAAAACAAACTATAAATGCCATTAAAGAAACGAACGTTTCGTTCTTTCCTTTAATCTTAACGTCTACCTGAAATTAATCTTTTTTAATGGTTGGAACTAACTATTAACGAAACGGCTAGAAAAAAGGTTGAACGTGCCCAGCCCTATGTTTTGCCAGCTTTAGCTAACTTATTAATATAATAGTATAATACAAATTCCTTAAGTATATATTATTTAACAAGGTTTCCCGGAGGGAAATGAATTTTTATGAATTGGGGGAAAATATGAAAAATGCGACATCAAAAGACATTTATTTCTCTCAATTCAGCGAAAAAAAAACCAACAAAATTCTAGGGATAATAAACGATTTTTTAGGAAAATATACGCATCAGTTTTATTAACCAACCTGTTCTATAAGATTGAGGGCATTATGTCCCCAAAAAAATGCGGCATTTCGTAGCTCCCAACAAATACCCATGTTTTCAGCTACAAGGGCACGCTGAGCACCAATTGAAAGATCTAAATAAAAAAAAATAGTTTTATGATAAATCAAACTTGACAAAAGAAAGACGATTCCATTGTCTTATGGTAATATAGAACTATAAGAGGGAGGATATAAGTATTAATTACATTTTACTTTTGCGAGCAATGACTTCCTAGGCCCGGCCCTCCCATAGGGGGGCTTAGAAATATTGGAACTTCTTCTGGAGGTAATTGCATGTTTACAATAAAGCTAGTTCCCCAGCTATTCTAATTTAAAATAAACCATATTTTTCCACTTCTCCGTAATTTGACTACTATTAAACTATGCTTTCAGGACATACAGGATTACCCACAATGGATGAGACTGTAAAGACGACCTGAAACTCATAAAACATGACGATTTTAAGGTAAAATTAAGTCTTGAATATTGTCTGTTATTAGCCTTTATTTGATTTGACAACGAGAGAAACCTGTTTAAAGTTGCAGAGAATCGTAAATATAAGGATATAGACGGTATCAATTATGTGTTTCATCCTTCATGGGTAAACCAGAATATCTTTAACATGAATTCCGACTTGGAAACATACAAAGATGGCAACGGGAACCTCAACAGCTTTGTCTAATCAAGAATGAATTAGATAACGATGTTCATTTTAACTGTTAAATCCATTTACGGTTTCTTCGTAAAATTAACTTCTATGGTACCTCTAAAGTGTGGCAGTCCCTTACAGACTTTCATAAAGTTGTAAGTTTGCAGCCCTTTCCCTGCAGACAAGGTTTTAAAGAGGTTCATCCTGGTGAGAACCCCCAGCATAGTGTCCACCATCAACTTATTAGTTCCTACAAACACAACCAATACAATCTAATTTTATCCTAAATATAAAAAATCTTATTAAATCAGAAATCGTTGCTTGAATTTTTGAGTTACATCCCCGGATTAAATTCTTGACTTTATCCGAAGTTGAGAATTTAACATGGTACTGTACTGTACTGTACTGTATTTAACATGGTACTGTACTGTACTGTACTGTACTGTACTGTACTGTACTGTTTAGTGCGGTGTAGTGTAATGTGAAGTGCACTATACTGAGCTGTTGTGCTCCTTTTTGTTGTGCAGTGCTGTGCTATGCGGTGAAATTCTGTACTATTTGTGTACTTAGCTGTACTTTGTGCAGTAGTATGCTATTCTGTACTGTGCTGTTGTGCTGTAACGCTCTGTGCAGTGCACTTCTGTGCTATGTTGTTCTGTTTTGTGTTTTACAGTGTGTGGTGTAGAATATTGTACTGTGTTGAACTATGCTTTGCTGTACTGTTCTGTGCAGTGCTGTGGTATACTGTAATGTTTTGTGCCGTTTACTTTAGAGTATATTATAGTGTGTAGTGTAGTCTGTTGTAGTGTGGTGTGGTGCAGTGCGGTGCAGTGCTCAGTGCAGTGCAGTGCAGTGCAGTGCAGTGCAGTGCAGTGCAGTGCAGTGCAGTGCAGTGCAGTGCAGTGCAGTGCAGTGCAGTGCAGTGCAGTGTTATTCTTTGCTAAGAAATAATTAATTTTAATTCAAATGAAAGAGAAGAGAGTGAAAATTAAACTTTTCATTAAAAAGCTAAAATTTTTGTTAAAGGCCCTTCATAACCTAAATATGTTATTTTGGAAATATTTTAGTATTTGAATTTATAAAAGCTGTAAATTTGTATATTTTATACCGAATTTAATATTTGAAGCTTAAACTTAAAATTTTTCAATTTTAAGGAATCCAGCGAGGTCATGAAAAAGATTTATACAAAGAACTTTATAATTGACGATTCGTTTTGATGTAAACTGCTGAACTTATTGTCTCCATGAAAATTAAATCTTTCCTCTAAAAAAGGCGTATTTTTAAAAACATTATAAACAATAAAAATGATGCACCCTAACATACTCTTAAAGTAATAAAATCATTTTTGATCAGAATAAGGTTTCAAGGGTACCGTTGTAAATCGGGTATTGTCTTCTTGCCTGTACATTACCTAATCTAACAACACAATTCATAGCATTGTTATGAACCTCCTTCATCTCGTCCAACAGCTTCAACTCCTCCACTACAACAAATACATTCAGTACTTGCTTGAGAACCCAGCGTTGGCCAGGGCACTCCCGTCGTTTACCCGCGCTTGGTCGTAAATTACGATTTATCTATTTTCCCTAATACAAGTTAACCCAATCAAATCTCAAAACCAAGCTAAGAACATTTCCGTCAGAAATTTGAGGCAAATCGGTCAAGGGTTTATAAATTATGATCGGACATTCAGACAAACGAACAGAGATTACAACTTTATAAATATAGATTTCCACTTTTACCCTTTTAGCTAAAACCTAGGCTTTCCTTTTTTCTTGTTATTTTTGAAAAAGTCTTTATTGTGTGACATCTAGGATGTAGATTTATTTAGATTAATTAAAAAATGTTCCGTCCTTACTTTCCGAAATTTCTTTTTGGTTGAAACGGCAAAATGTTTCTTAGACCCCCTTATTTGGACATTGTAAATACAGTAAAACAATGTTTAGAATAAAGACTAAAAGCCTTAACAACACTTTTTTCAGAGAACATATACTTAACCTGTGAACTTTAAATTTGGTTGGAGATGAAAGATGGAAGAACTGCTACTGGAGGATGAAGGTTCAGGTTCTACCGGAGATTCTTTCGGAGGCTCCTCTCGAACTTTGACATCTTCCTCCGACGGAGGCTCTATTTTAACCTCATCAGGAATAAAAGGTAACCTAAATTCAGAGAGAATTTAATACCGGTTAAACAAGAGCTTAGGATCCATTTTATTTTCATGCGGATCCGGATCCTGGTTGCGACAACTTTAAGAACCATTCAGAGATAATGAAGTTTTTGATATTCTCTGTTATTTTATAAGTTCAGGTTTGGATTTTTAGAACCAAAAGTTCAACTTTGAATCGGTAATTATGATTTGAACAATGAAGAGGTAGTTTAAAGACCTAGATTAAATTCATTAAATTCGGTCTCGGCATTATTTTTCTCGAGGATTTCTAAATTTATTTGATAAAAATAACTAGAGATTTGATCCAAGTTGTCCGACAGAAAAAAGTTTATTTTTTTTTTATATTTAGATAACACAAAGTTTTAAGGATGAACAGATTTTACTTAATATTTTTTATGAAATTTGAGAGATAACCAACAAAATAAAATAGGAAACTCGATACAAAAAAATCTGGGTTAAAGCGACTGTAGGCATAATTTCAACAATTTTGTTTTATATATTAGAAATATTAATATTTACTTGATACAAGTTCCAGATATTAAATAATTGCACTCGAATTTTTAAATCGAAACCGCGTTAGACAAAGAAAATTCTGAATTTTCAAGGAATATGTGTAACGTCGGCTGTGTAGTAGAGTTGACACTGTACACACTGTACACATGTACGTTCCAGTATTACGGCTATTTAATAAGTTAAAGGTTTAAACAAGGGGCGGGCATAACTCTCCTTATTTTGCCTGGCTAGGTTTATACTGTACAATGAATTTTGTCGAAAAATGTTTCCTTATGACTGAGTTGGTATCATAGAGTACAGTGGGTTTAATCCTAAGTACAGGGTGTCCCAAAAAACATGGGAATTCAGTGACGAATTCGATATCGTCTTTGTTCTGAATTAGCATTGTATTACCTAATTTCAAAAGCCATAATATTATTATGTCTGCTAGAGTTTATTTAATAAAAAGGGTAAAAGACTGCAAAGATGTGTCTATAATTGTCTCCGCCAGATGAACAGTGAATACGGACAAGTTTACTCTGTTTGTATACTGTAATTTTCTTGTTTTACTAAGTACAACCGGTTGCAGTCAAAACATAAACAAACAAAATGTAAACATAGCAGACGAAACTCTTACAGATTACAGCTTTCTCAGTAGGTATCACTATACTAAATCAAAGAATTATTTGAAAAGACGATATCGAATTCGTCACTGAATTCCCATGTTTTTTGGGACACCCTGTACATCTTTTTGTACGGTATTGTGTGGACAGTTAATTTTAATACTTTTCAACAATGAGATATTGTAGTGTCAAAAATTGTATAAACAACGATGTTTCGGGTTCAGAAATTTTTTTCCTAACATACGAAAAGAGGAGATAGAAAAAGTTATGTGGAAGACAAAACACCCAATTTTTATATGCAGTGAACATTTTGACAAAAATTGTTATAGAAACAAAGATTGCAAAATACTCAGAAATGATGCAGTTCCCTCTATATTTAACCCTATCTCTGCTGGGGTAAATCCCATGTTTGATGTCCAAATATGAAAAATGATACATCATTGGAAAGCTTTTGTGCTCTACTGTTAGAATCTGCAAATTTGCAAAAATTGGATTTTTTATCGCAAAATCTTCAATAACTTTAAAATTCAGTCTAACCTAGTTAAAGTCTATTATTAGTTCAAAATTGCTTTTCATTCTAAAAGTCAGAAACCTATATTCCTAAGAGTTAATGCACAATGAAGATTTCAGAAGTAAAGAATTTGATAAGAAACAAGATGTTATTAAGGAGAAGGATTTTATTTTTTTCTCTATTTCTCATGTCTCATTTTCAGACAAAAATCATATGGGCTTGTTTTCTTTGCTTGAATATTGTAGGCTTCACTTTCAAACAAATGTCTTAAAACACTGATCTACGAATTATGATCCCCCAGGTAGAATTTCTGATCGGGTCATTGTGTACAGTGGCTGTACAACAAGAAGTCTAAAATTCCAAATGCCCCCTCTATTACTAATATCTCGACGGGTTTAAAGGATACCGATGTAAGTCGGACATTTATCTTTTTTCAAGTAATAAAACTCTGTTTAAGTAAACATGAAATATCGCAGACATAAATTAAATTCTAAAATACATAAAAAAATAACAAAATATATATGTGGCAAAAATATACTTTTACAATGTAAAGAGAAAAGGTTCGCACTTTACCGGCCTCGAGTAGCAAGAAAATAGTAAAAACTACAAATATATAGTTTTCTTAGCAAATTATATAAAAATCAAAATTATACATAACCACCTGCTATACTAAACAGAAAAACAATACAGATCTTAATTATATAAAAATAGGTTGTATAAGATCAATAAACATGTACGTGTACTTTGTACCTTGTTATATAACTTTAATATGTGAGCCAACTTTTGCATGATAAATAAGTAAAATAATGAATAATTTATTGAATGCCTGAAGTCGAAAGTACTTGTGAGAAAGGGAGTGATTCTCAAAATAAACATTTCAAATCAAATTCAGAAAACCTTTGGCCTATCTTAAATAACGCTTTTTGCCCCCCCCCCTTTTCAATAAGATGATACGAGATAAGATTTTTATTAATCCAATTAACATGAAACATGGAAATGATGCAGGGCAAATTTAAGTTCAATTCTAAATTTAATTCAAATATCTATAATGATTCAATTCAATATTAAGTTTGATGCCAACTTTTAACAAAAAAAGCGTTTGAGATTGTTTTTCAAATCCAAATCCAATCATGACTCATGAAAACTAACGTTCATGATTTTGAGAAAATAAAAAGTTGAATTGAACTAAGAAAAACTTCATGTCATGTCTGGATTTAGTTAAAATTGATCAAATAAGGGAGAACTAGTACAATACAAAAATCAGTAAAGGCAAGTTGGGCCTTTTCCTCAGAAAAGTAAAAATATGTTTTGAATTTTTCACAATAAATGCGAATAACGTCTTGAAAATTCTTTATTTCAAAATTTTAAATTTGTCAATTATGTGAAAAAATTTAAGAAATTCTAAAATTGAGATGAAAAAAGTATTAGAATGCTATACGATAGAATGTTCCCAATAAATACGAAAATTTTATAATACAAATTTAAAACTTTTTGTTTTCTAATGTAAAACAAATGGCAATAAAATTTCATTAGTTTCGTCAAAATGCAGAATAAATAATGAAGGTCTAAAACTTTGGGGTGGAAAGAACGATTAGGATATTTTTTATTCATTTTTTTATTTGCGAAAAGTTCCCAATTCTATAATAAACCAAAATATAAATACCTTGTAGCGATAGTATCTACGAAGTGGGAGAAGAAAGATTTACTAATCAAATCCTCAGCAGTTCGGAATAGGTCGGAGTTCAATAGCTCATGATCAACCTAATCATAATAAACATATCTCATGATCTATACCTAATCATGATAACCATATCTCATGATCAACCTAATCATAATAACCATATCTCATGATCAACCTAATCATAATAAACATATCTCATGATCAACCTAATCATAATAAACATCTCATGATCAACCTAATCATAATAAAAATATCTCATGATCAATCTAATCATAATAAACATATCTCATGATCAACCTAATCATAATAAACATATCTCATGATCAACATAATCATAAAAAACACAACGCATGATCAACCTAATCATAATAAACATATCTCATGATCAACCTAATCATAATAAACATATCTCATGATTAACCTAATCATAATAAACATATCTCATGATCAACCTAATCATAATAAACATATCTCATGATCAAACTAATCATAATAAACATATCTCATGTCCAACCCAACCTAATCATAATAAACATTTCTAATGATCAACATAACAATAATAAACAGGGCGGACAATACTCTAAAAGAGAGGGTCATTTGAAAGTACGTCAGCATTAGCTTTATGTATAAAATACTACTAGACCTGTGGAACACTCTGACCGGATGCAAAGATGGTCTCAGCAATATTGTTTAGAGTTTGCGTTGTGTCAAGTTCTAAATCAATTTTAAAATTCTTAACAATTAAAATTATAAACAAATTTCGGATTCATTTTCATGAAACATCCATCAGCTGATCTTTGTTTAGTTTAATAAAACATTCATATCAGCTGATCTTTGTTCATTTTAAATTAATATCCGTTTTTTGGAAAAAAGCATACAATTTTAAAATTACAATATGTTTAACTATTTTATTAAGCTTAGCAATATCTTAGACCTAAAAAACAAAAGTCTAAAAACGATCCGAAAAACGATCGTTATGACACGTTCGTTTTTGCACCGTTTTTGCACTGTTTGGCATTAAACTTCTGCAATGGCTTAAATTTGACATACTGTAAAGAAAATCCTTATTTTAAGAAAATAAAAACTTTGTTTTTTTAGCGCTTGGGTGTAAAATTAAATGTAGAGAAAATAAAATACTTTTACATAAATTTGATATTTATGGATAGAAGTGAAAAATCTATTTAAAAAGTACTTTTTTCTAAATCAGATTTTTCCTAGAATAAAAAAACAACATAATTTGGAGGAAAACAAATAGAAATCTAAATGAGAAAATAATTTTTTCAAAATTTTATTTTTCCTAAAAAAATATCTTAATGATTATTCTTTAAGTATAGATTACCTGGCGTAAATGAATAAGTCTTGATTTTCTGTTCTACTTTCCAATCTCCTTTTTCTTCTTCCTCTTCTTAAGATCATAAAAAAAAATTAACTTGGAAGAAAAAAAAACAAATCTTCGTTATTACGTTTTATTAAGAAAATTAATAAATAGAGAATAAAAATCTTTAATGACTTTTAATAAATATGTCAAGTGTCGAAAATGGTTGGAAACGTGAAATAATTTAGCTAGCCCATGAAAACACTATTAAATGTCCAATGGATAGATGCGTGAATCAATAAATAAATAAATCAATAAAACATTCACCCATCAGTCCGAAGACAGGCATGGGTAGAGCCCACGTCACCGCACTATCCCCAAAGGGAGTAGCGGGATGCCATTGGCATGAATCAATAGAGATGAATGCAGGAATGAATAGTTTAAGGAATGCAGTAAAAAATGGATAGATGAATGTAGGAATGAATATAAAGAGGAATGCAGGAATGAATAGTTAAAGGTATGCAGTAAAAAATGGATAGATGAATGTAGGAATGAATATAAAGAGGAATGCAGGAATGAATAAAGAGATGAATGCAGGGATGAATATATAGATGAATGCTTCAATGACATGTTGTGTAAGGATATGTCTCTGGTATTAGTTGTCTTTCAAGAATATGTCCAAGCTATGAATAATCTTTCAAGAATATGTCCCTGCTATAAATGTCCCAGCTATGATTAGTCTTGCTAAGATTTGTCTTTTAAGAATATGTCCCAGCTATTTGTCTTTCAAGAATATGTCCCAGCTAAGAATAATCTTTCAAGAATATGTCCCTGCTATAATTTGTCTTTCAAGAATATGTCCCAGATATGATTTGTCTTTCAAGAATATGTCCCAGCTATAATTTGTCTTTCAAGAATATGTCCCAGCTAAGAATAATCTTTCAAGAATATGTCCCTGCTATAATTTGTCTTTCAAGAATATGTCCCAGCTATAATTTGTCTTTCAAGAATATGTCCCAGCTAAAAATAATCTTTCAAGAATATGTCCCTGCTATAATTTGCCTTTCAAGAATATGTCCCAGCTATGATTTGTCTTTCAAGAATATGTCCCAGCTATAATTTGTCTTTCAAGAATATGTCCCATCTATGATTTGTCGTTCAAGGTTGTGTCCCAGCTATGATTTGTCTTTCAAGAATATATCCCAGCTATGAGAAATCTTTCAAGAATATGTCCCAGCTATGATTTGTGTTTCAAGAATATGTCCCAGCTATAATTTGTCTTTCAAGAATATGTCCTTGCTATAAATAATCTTTCAAGAATATATCCCAGCTATAATTGGTCTTTTAAGAATATGTCCCAGCTATAATTTGTCTTTCAAGAATATGTCCCAGCTATGATTCGTCTTTCAAGAATATGTCCCCGCTATAATTTGTCTTTCAAGAATATGTCCCAGCTATGAATAATCTTTCAAGAATATGTCCCAGCTATGATTTGTCTTTCAAGAATATGTCCCAGCAATAATTTGTTTTTTAAGGATATGTCCCAGCTATGAATAGTCTTTCAAAGTTGTGTCCCAGCTATGAATAGTCTTTCAAGAATATGTCCCAGCTATGAATAATCTTTCAAGAATATGTCCCAGCTATAAATTGCATTTCAAGAATATGTCCCAGCTATGAATAGTCTTTCAAGAATATGTCCCAGCTATGAATGATCTTTCAAGGTTAAGTCCCAGCTAATTGTCATAAAAGGATATGTCGAAATGTCTTAAAAGCATACGTCCTAGCTTGTGACAAGTCTTACTAGGAAATGTTCCAATGCCTTAACTTTAAAATACCTTAAAAGTGTCACTAACCTGAAATAGGACTTTGATTGAGACTTTGAAGATATTCTCGAACTCTTTGTGGAGAATCTTTTTGAACTTGTGGGATCATCGAAGGGTTCTGAATACCGGTCACTGAAGGAAAACTGTCGACGTCCAACCCAGATTGAAATGAGACACTAGCATCGATAGGAACATAATAAGAGGAGGAAACATAGTTGGTAGAAGCACCCGCCAAGGTTGGAACTTTCACCGCATTGAGCTCATGGTTCACATTAGGATAGTCAGGAAATTGAGCATGGTCCGAAATTTCATTAAAATACCCAGGCCTGAAATTAATGTCCCCATTCTCGGCAAATATTTGATCAACAGGTTCCATTCGGACATTCTTTGGCGGAGATTTCATACAACTTGATTGGACCGTTTTGAACTGTTCTAGTTTACCACGTTTAGACGCCAATCGGTTGTGTTTCTCTGGAAAAGGAAGATTAGGAAGGTTACCGAGGGGATGACCCTGTCCCGCTGTTGTGTCAAAAGACCGATTTTCAGCAAAATATTGAGCTTGAGCTCTATATATCTGCTGTGCTCGGTAGAGGTGTGTATAGGGGTGATCAGGATAGATATTTGGTGGATTGGGTGGAAAACAGAACATACCCAAGTCAGACCTGAATATATATTTAGCAATGAAATATTCAAGAGAAGAAGTTTTACATTAAAAGTTGAAATAAAATTAATTAAATAACAATTGTTTATTTTTTTTGCGAATTTCTTCCACAATGTTGGATAAGATAAAGGTTTCAAGGGTTGTAAATCCGGCATAGCCATATTTGCATGGAATGCCACTTGAAATTTTACCTCCCTCCCTGCATAAATGAATCTGAGCCCGCGATTTAAAAGCTTCGGCTCGAGCCGTAATTCCTTAAACCCGACTTTAAGACCCAATCTTCGACCCAACTCTGACGACAGCTTGTGTCACGTGATTGACAGCTGCGAGATCTTAGGCTCGACTTAAGGAGTTAGGCCCAATGAAAATAAAACCGACCTTGGTTGGTTTTAGTGAAGAATTTTAGACCCGAGTCGTATTGTATTGAATTTTTTAAATCGCCGGCTCTGAAACCACATTATAAATATATTCCTTGGTAGAATGGTGTCAGGTCTGTGGAATCTATATCTAGATGTTGGGTCAAAATTTTGAAAACTTTGTCCATCAACTCCGCGTTTCAGCATGTTCAGATGAGTGTTAAGTTCAGCTTGTTGTTGAAGGGCAAACAGTTCATCTGTACTCCATTTCAGGAAGTTCATTTGTTTCTCAGCTGAGCCGGTCAGTTCCATATCCGCAGAAACAGATACGCTGGGCCTTTCAACACAGTTTCTCCCACCACTAAGTTAATATAATATGACACCCGTGTAAAAGAATTTATTAGAAAATTATAATTAGTAGTTCATGTATCCGTTAAACCATTGTATTCAATATCTATTTAACAAATCTCATATATAATATATTAAATATGTCCAAACTGGCCAAAAGGCAAAATTTTTTTAAAATTTGATTTTTTAAGATAGTTTTTAATAAATCGTTTTTCCAGAAAAGAACCAGTGCAAAAATTAAAAGATTTCCCCGTTTTTATGATAAATAAACAAAACAGAAAAACCCCGACATTGCTGTGAATCGGTGATAGCACACTTATTTAAACCATTTAAAAAATCGAGAATTTTTTTACTAAGGTTGTGATATGCCTAGTATTTCCAAAGGTTCGAATGACAGATGTGACATTAGGAGTGTTGGCACCACCGTCTAAAAAGAACAGATTCATCTATTTAATTATATTTGATTATATTTAATTATATTTCGATCCAAAAAAGTCATAATAGCTCAATCAATCCGGCAACCGATCAAAATTGAAGGATGTTATTACGAAGAAAATTGAAGAAAACAGGAAAATCTGCGAAATTTGTCACTTTTAAAATTAGTCAAGATTGGAAAACAAATGGTTTCAGGTAAACAAACAAACAAACAAACAAACAAACATAAAAAAAATCCTTATTATATTTGTACTAAAACTCCATCCGATTAAATTAAAATCTACAATGCTAGTTTAGAATATATTCTTTTTTAGAATTTTGAAGATGAAACTTTTAAAAGAAAACCTTATACAAAGATAAAAGTGAATTGTTGGGTGAAAACTTTTAAATGGCCAAAATCGGCGCTAAATTTAACGTTTTGTGCACTTGTTTTACCTTTAGTGAGATTACTTAAGATTGGCGAAGGATTAGGATTTCTGAGCACAGAGATACGGCTCTCCGACATGTATTCAGCACCTTAAACATTTTCCTTTAGATTAATTCAATCATTATTTGATATCCAGGAAAATGTCTAAATTTTGACCAATCAGAGTTTCATTTGCAGACCGAACAGCCAATATGCACAGCTAATGAGAGAACCCAGTAGGATATCCAAAAAGAAAAGATTTGACAGAAAATGAAAAATTTCTACAGTGGATATCGAGGCAAAGTGAACGGGATTATACAACACGAGAGTTCCCAGCTCTGTTCATAATTAGGCGCAAGCTAAAATTACTAAAAAACTATTAAACGCCAATTATCCTTGTTTGATCAAATTACAATCAAATAAAATAAAATATAACAAAGAACATATATTTAAAAAGAAACCTATTTAAAACAGTATTTTATATTTTTAAAATTTGATCAGGCACATTTTTGGGGTCATGGAGTACAACTTTTCATCACATTTTAGGCACCAAATAATTCAAATCAAACAATCAAAAATTTGATTTAAGAAAAAAGACTTCTAATTAAGCATCAAACATTTCCTTTCGCCATTATAACACAAAATGTTACGAGAAATAAAAATGATAAAAACAGAAATTTAAAAGAAAATAATTTTACTTTTTTATCTAATAAAATTAACTCAGAACATTTCCTTCCTAATTCTTTTTCTAATTTTTAACTTGTTGGCGTTTTTTCTTTTAAGAGCCCACAACAAAATTATAATCAATATATTTGTACTTTCTATATCTTTATACTTTGTCTGTCTGTCCGTTTGTATCCAATAAAAGCCAACACGGCTGAACCGATCGTGCCCAAATTTTTTGTGGGACCTCGCGTAACCCCGGAAAAGGTTTAGGATGATCGAATGTTACAAAAATGTGCATCTAAAAAAATAAGATTTTTGAAAATTTTGAAAATCTACGAAATTTTTATTTTTAAAACGCAAAATTTCCATGTTTTTGTTTTACAATATACATGAAGAGAACATGTTCACAATTGAAATAGAAGCTGGGCGCAAAACGCCCTATGAGCATAGTATTATAAACTAGGCTTTTAGTGCGCTTCGCGCCCATCTTCTATTTAAATTGTGAACATGTTTTTTTTGTTTACATTTTAAAACAAAGAAAAAAATTTCGCTGATTTTCAAGAATTATAAATTTTTTTTTACAAAATTAAAAACCTTCAAAACACATTTTTTATTCGTAAATCTTCCCTGTGGTCACGTGATGTCCCACAAAAAATTTGGGCCCGATCGGTTCAGCCGTTTTGACTTTTATTGGATACAAACAAACAAACAGACAGACAAGCCAAATTTATATATAGATTGTGCATATTGGAATTCTAAGAAAATAAACCAATGAGGAAAAATAAAACTCATTGAGACCCTAGTATGCATTTAAAGTGACTTTCCTGGATTGGATGAAAACATGTTTATTTAATATATTACTATTCTAACCCCTGAACAAACTTTAGAATGTAAATAAGAAAAGGATTGCAAAAATCTACATGTAAATTACACTGTAAGGATTGTTTCAAAAGTGAAAACTGAAAAAAAACTTTATTGAAACATTGGAAAAACGCGATAAATTGTTTTCCAAAACAATAAACTTTTTTTAAGAGCCCTGGGATATTTTACATAAATTAACTTCTATAACCCGCAAAAAATCATGATAGATACTTTTCCCATTTCGTTATATTATGGAAAATTTTTAAATCCTCAAATTCGACTTTCTTGGTATAATCCAGAGTTAAAAAATTGAGAGGGCATAAGATAACAGCAAAAAAATGTATTTAATAATTTGCGTTTATTGTTATTTTTTTTAAAGCATACCCAGTTTTTTTCAGAAATATAAAGTTTAGGATTTTTCATAATATGTTTTAATTGTTATGATCTGAGAGTTACTTATAAAACCATTTATTCCTGTTTCGAGGGTTTTTGTTAATGAAGACGACATTTTAATATTTTCCAGGAATGATCGAAAAAAAGTTGTAAGCTAAATATTATTCTAAAAAATAAAATCAAAACATATTATGAAAAATCAAATATATGCAAATGTGGCGAAAGATAATCGATGACCATAGGGTGTAATATCTGAATGATTTGTTTGAAATTAAATAGATTTTTATACGGTCTAAGTCGTATGGTTGCATCTTTCTGAATTTGTATGAATACTACTTTCTTCGGTATGAGACGTCTTTAACAATTTTCTCCTTATAGACGCAACAGATAGAAGTAAGATTAGAAGCGATCAAAAGCGCTTTTTTATCGCATTAAGCCTATACCCCCTTTCATTTTTCGCAAACACTTCCTTTAAAAATTTTTTCTACGATACTGCAATTTCAGTTCAACCACCATACATTGACGGTCACTCCCTTTAAACAAACCCTGCAAAAAAACTATAGAAATATAAAGAACAAAGGAAATCCCCTTGTTAATTTCAGGAATAGTTAAAATTAAGGGTTTAAACATCTATAAATAAAAGTTTTCATTGTGTAAACTATTATCCTATTTCTTTGTATCTATGTAACTCTCAAATTTAAGTTATTTTTAGCACTTGGCCCTAGTTGCGGTCAACTGATCTACCTGTACCTTTTCATATCTAAATAAAGCTCTAGTTCAATACAGACTCTCGTTATTTATGGACATTAATAAACCTATAGAGGTAGAGAGGGTAGAGTTTGTGTGTATTTACAGTAGAGAATAAAGCTGTTAGATTGATGCACGGAGTTGAGGCATTTTGGTACACACGGTCTATATATAAAAAATCACGGAGCATGGCAAGCTAGACCAAAGTAGAAGATAAAATGTATGCGACCTCGTAGCTCCCTCTAGCTTTGATTTTAAGAAAAAGTTTACGGAAAGCCAATTTATTCAGTTACATATGAGAAATTTAAAACATTTTTCCTTTTCTCAACAGCTCTTCAATAAAAAGAAGTTATGATTGAAAACATGCAAGATTTAAATCTTACGTGCAATTTACTTTAGTTTGACGTGTGAGAAACATACCTGAGGATTTTTTACGCTTCGCGTCGGCGGCTTGTGAGGAGGCAAAGGAGATGACCGATCCTCTCTGTTCCTGCCTTGGAGCCCCTGCGTCAAGATATATAAATTATCTTGAAGGAAATTCCGAAAATGTTTGAATTACGAAAAAAATACAAAATTTACTTGCAAAATGCAGCTACAATGTTTTCTGAAAATTAATGCTAACACTAAAACCGCAATATTTTAGAAACCCTGAAGAAAACTTGTGAACAGAAAACTAAAAGTAAAGATGGCAAATCTAAAATCTAGTGAAACTTTCCTGATAATCATCTTTCGTTTGTCAAAAAAAAAATCAAATTAAATCAGAATTCTTGGGCTGTCCTACTTTCATTCTACAGTTTCAAGATGACTTTACTAATTTAAAATTGTAGCCTGGGTTTATGATTTGCAATCATGTTTCAGCACAAAAAATAGCGGAATTAGAAATAAAAAATCTAAACTTCAGTTTTCCTTAACTCTGTATGCAAACTTGTTATTCTATAGCTGACTTTGAAAAAACCCAGGATGACACTTTTTGCAGAAGAATTTGCAAGGTGGAATTATAATAAAAAGAGACAACTTTATCCACTTACCAGTAGATTGAGCTTCAGGGCACATCGGTCGTACAATAGTATAGGGCTTGTTAAACACACTACAATTCCGTTGTTGAGAGTTCTGGTCCGATCTTTGTTGAGCGTGTTGAAATCTCATGGATGGTTGATCCATGGGAATCGTCTGGTTATAGGAGTCCATAGCCTCAGAGAAGTTGATGTTGGTGGAAGGTTTAGCGACGATATGTAGTTTGTAACTTGGATCCATCAGGTTTTGGTTTAATTTATTATTTGGCTCTAATCGGGGCGGATTCAGTTTATAGCTCGGATCTAGCAGGGATGGTTTGCTATAGCTAGGTTCGAGCATTGGCGGATTTAGTTTAAAATTTGGTTCCCGATTTGGTGGATTAGGTTTCAAGGCCGGGTCAAGCCTAGGTGGATTTGGCGGGAAAAACTGAGTTGGAAATGCGGGAATGCAAGGTGCAGAACATAGAGATTTAGCTGCTGACGAAAATGATGGGGTCTCGTAGAGATCCTGGGGCTCTTTGACAGGTTTACTCTCGAAAGGAGGAACTTCTTCAACTGTTAGATGAGGTTCATGTTTTGATTCGGGTTCATATAGCTCCATATCAAAATCGCCTAATATAATAAAAAAGTATAGAAGTTAAAGTTTTATAGTTATAACGAGAAAACTTAGAATGTATAAACTTCGGAACAGAGGAGTAAAATTAATCAATGGGAGTGTTTGTTAAAAATAAAAAGTTAAGGGTGAAACAAACTTTGATGAAATGATCTTTTTTCATAATTGTGTTTTTGTAAAAAAAATATCAATAGTTTTAATTATCACTGCTTAACTATGATTAATTATTAGAAATATCATAAATTAAAGCAATAAATTTAAATACAATTCTGATATCCCCCCTTTCAGTGGGATCCATGAAGCTGTGGAAAAGGAAGACGACATTTAAGCAATCTTATTTTTATGTTTTTAAAGTAAAATTTTTACTTTACACCGCAAAATTGCTTCAAGTTCATTTGACTATTTAAAATCATAACTGAAGTCTAAAAGTCGTCTTCTAATTCTACACTTTGCAGGGTCCCACTGTACAACATATAAAATTGAGGATGAATCCCACCTTTAGCCTCTTCAGCCTCAGGTTCATGAATACTAGAGTTAGAATCCTCCGAGTCCAAAATATTTAGTTTCCGTTTTCCCTGACAAATATTTAAAACATAAATTAAACCATAAAAATAATAATGATGTAAATTTAGAAGTGAATAATAGATTTTATACAAAACAAGTTTCCTAATTAAAGTACAAAAGTGTTCCGTTTGAAGTGATGAGCAATAAGTTAACGCGTTTCCGGTTTCACTAAACTATAAAAAGTTTCACAAATTTTATTCTTTTCTTTCACCATGCCAAATTTAGACCAGGAGAGAAAATATATGCAAAAATTGAACCATTGTTTTTTATTCGTTTCGTTTTTTCCATTTAGGATGAAAATATTGCAGATTTAAGAAAAGCAATTTTTAAAATAATACAATTTTGAAATGCTGGAAGTTTCATAAAAAGTTTTTAGAACAAGCCAAAACGATAAACAACCCTAAACGTTTGTTGTTTAGATCAAAATGCTCGTCGAAAAAATCTATTTTTTATTTAATTATTCACAACTTCTTTACTGGGAATTGTTAAGTGAATTTTACTTTACAAAGGGTGCCCAAGACCAATTTTGCCTACAACACATCCAGAGCGCAGCGAGGGATGCTTTGTAGACAGAATTGGTTTAAAGAACCCACGGTAAAGTAAAATCTTTTATTTCCCAAAAAAAGTAGTTATACACAATTTTCACGCATTTAAAGATAAAAATGCGTGAATTTCCCCCCGAAAACTTCGCAGAACGGATGGTAATTTTAAATAACTGTCCCAGGGGACATTAAGTAACTTAACCCCCCTCTGTTGAGGGAATCATAGGTCGGTATTGTTAATCAAATTCTTACCTGCATCAACTTGACGGTCATTCCAACACTGAGACACTTGTTGAACCTGCAGGACATGCAGTCCTTGTGCTGCTCATCAATCAAACAATCCTAATAATAACAATAACATTAACAATAATAACAAGAATTACAATAATAACAATAACAGTAACAATAAAAACAAAACAAAAACAATCATAACAACAACAGTAACATCAACAGTAACAATAACAAGAACAATCACAATAACAATAACAATAACAACAACAATCACAATAACAATAACAGTCACAATAACACAATAAAAATAACACAATAACAATATTACAATATCAATAACACAATAACAATAACACAATAACAATATAACAATAACACAATAACAATAACACAATAACAATAACACAATAACAATAACACAATAACAATAACACAATAACAATAACACAATAACAATAACACAAACAATAACACTAACTATCACTAACAATAACAATAACAATAAAAATAACAATTACAATAAAAATATCAATATTAATAACAATAACAATAACAAAAACAAAAACAAAAACAAAAACAATATCGATAACAATAATAACAATAAAAATAACAATAACAATAAAAAAACAATTTCCAAGAAGTAGAGAACAAATTATTGTACATTCTTTCATTAAATGGCGAATCAAGTTTCTAAATAAGAATTAACAATTAAAGAGGAAAAAAGCAAATAATTGTAATCTTTAAATTTCCCGGTTTTGGGGTTATTTTTAAACTTAATACATTAAAAAAAAAATCGGATTTTTTTGTTCCAATAGTTAGGATCTGTATAGTAATGCTCTTCGCTCTTATATGTATGTTTACTTATATTTATGTTCGCTGGACTAAACTTGCTGTTTTGTCTTTTAAGAGAAACCGAGAGTACCCCGGGGGTAACATAGGCTAAAAAATGAAATTTTTTAATTCCACGGGCAACGCTGGGCACTTCATATAAAATCGTGATTTGATTTCAAGCGCGGGTAAACGGCGGAAGTAGCTATAACTATAACGCCAGGCACATCAGCTAGAAAAAATATATTGGATAATAATTCAACCATATTTAATGCATAAAATTGCTGCAAGCTTTTCATACAAATGATAATCATGGATCTTAAGTTTATCTATTTATAATCTTTTCAAATCCGGCTTAGACTGAGTGCGAGTTAAAAGGTATAAAAAAACAAGTTAAAATCTAAATGTGATTTAGACATTATTTAAAGAACCCCTCCATCAAAAAGCTTGATGTCCTGTTCTCAAAGGTACCTTCCAATCTTTTATTTGATCAAGAATGACGAAGTTATCTTTATTTTTGACTAACATTGAGTTAACAATGTACATTGGAACCTAAATTTTTTTGCACTCAATTTCCAGCAAAAAATAATTCCGTCAATGAATAAGACAACTGCAAGGGTACCGTTGTGAATCTAATATAACACTCTTAAAATGGAGGGTCAATTGATTTTACATTAATAATTCCTTTGTTAATTTAAAATCTTCAATTAATTGTTCAGAAGTACGTTCTCAATTTATGTTTTGAAGGTGTCCTCTTTGGAGATGTAATAGTGTTTCAAATTAACATGAGGGAATTAGTTCTCAGTAAATACAATAACTATGATTCAGACATTCCACCATACCTCAACAACAAAACTTAAACTTACGCAAACTTACAAACACAGGGTGCTATTTAAAGAATCCAACTATTTCAAATGGCAAAGAGATAGGGATTTTGATCAAATATTTGTTATTTCAAAAAGGTATAATTAGCACCAATCAAAGAAATCTATGAATGAAAGAAAGCTAAAAAGAAAGATATTACGAAGAGGCTGCGGACGTGGGGCCAGTACTAGAGATTAAGAAATAAAATCAGCGTTTACAAGAATACTTCAATATGTACACGAGTCAAATGTAGGTTAAGATAAATTTAGCTTTACAAAAAATTTAACCTTTCAGGGTTCTCTGAGGTACCTTAGGTAACAGATTCATGAAGAGAACGAATTAATTGGTGTAAAGCCTTGAAAGATAATTGAGTACAATTGAATTTATCTTAAAAGCCTACATTTGACTAGTATGTAATAAACTATCTATTTTATAAAAAAAGATTTTAAAAAGTTCTGATTTACCTTAGTCCCTGCCCTGCACCTCAGTAGTTCTGGATCTTTGTGCCGAAGCGCTGTGCGCCGGAAGAATGCCCGACAAGAGTAGCAACAATGTCCTGAAACAGAAGTTATTAATAAAGGGACTGTAGAGTAGACGTGATTTCCAGAGAACCTGCATTTGAAGACTGAGATGTAGGATTTATAACAATACACTTAAAAGCTTTGCCTTAAGGAGATATCCATATTAAACTTTAAAAATTAATTAATTTTAAGCGGATTTTCAGCTACAGAAACAATTAATGACATTAAAAGAATTAATCACTTTTCAAGCAAAAAAACTACATTATTGATCAGATAATTGTAAAAAGGACAGCGTTGTGAATCAGACATGTCCCACTTTATAAATATTGAGGGTCCCTCTGAAGCACTGTTCCGTAATTTTTTTTCTTCATAGCACAACTTTTAGAATGAAGAACACAACTGAAGGAATTGCATCATTCCAAGATGTAACACAAAAAAAATCATTTCATCACGTCAGGCTAAAAATATGCAAATTCTGTCTGCTAAAAAAATACCCTTTAAATTTACCCTTGTCCGATTCACACCGGTGCCCTTAAAACTTTGTCTAGTCAAGAATGAATGAAATATTTGTTATTTTTGGTTGGCGTTTCTCTACAAAAGTGACTTGCGAATTTCCGCTGTGAGAAACAGTGGAGGAAATCTTCAGAAAACAATTTAAGCTAAAGAGAAAAAGATATTTTCAACATTATTAATCAGATAAGTAAACAATGTTTTCAATAGTACAGTTGTGAATCGGAAAATTCAATTTTAAAATAAAGGGTCAGTTTAAATAGTTACATGTTTAAGTAATGCAAATTTGTTTGTAGTTTTTCTTTTTTTTCACTTTGCAACACCTGTTAAAAATTTATAAAAAAAACTAGGTTCCTGGGCGCTTCGTGCCATTTTTTACTAGAAAAATCATGTTCCTACAAAAACAAAATTGCAAAACAAAAAGTTCATTGTTGAATTTCTTAAATATGTGTGAGGCAAACTTTTTAAATTCTGATAACGTTCATAAACCTTCCCAAGGTGAGGCGAGATTTTACAAAACTTTGACGCTGAACCAGCTGTTCACTGTTGTCAAGTAGAAGGAAAATCTCTATTCTCCGAGGAACAAGGTCCGACGTTTTGTGAATAATGAATTGAAGGGATCGTAAGCGAAATTTAAAATGACACTCCATGTAAAATTGGTAATGCTTGATATCCAACGGAACCCTAGCATTTATGAAAATTGTTTTACATTTTGTTTGTTCTCAAAATCATCGTCCATATTCCATATATTTTTTTCGTTTACTCACTGAAAAATTGTTCAGTAAAATCGTTCGTTCAGTAAAATTGTTTGTTCAGTAACATCGTTTGTACAATAAAATTGTTATTTATTTTAAAATATTGTTCATTCAGAAATAACTATCGTTTTCTTCAAAATCGTTCAAACGATTTCAAATCTTTCATTTATGTTTTTTTTGTTTGTTTTTAAAAAGAATGGTTTTTTCATTTTTCTGAACGATCCAAGTTGTACGTTCATCGTTCGCTTTTTACAAAATTTCGAACAATTTTGTTTGTTCTCAAAATGTCCACAAATGAAAAAAGTTTAAAACAAAATCTTGGAGGTCTAATTCATACTTAATCAGACAACTCTTTTAAGGATACTGTTGTGAATCGGACAAAGCCATCTTTGAATGGAGGTTCACTTGAAATTACGCTTACAGTCCCTTTAAGGAGGAGAAATATGAGCTTGTAATTAGAGACTGGATATAATCACGTCCAACAAGTTTCAAGTTTTCGAGGCAGCAATAGATACTAATTAAATAGATATTTTTAAATAGATTCTAATTAAATAGATTCTAATTAAATCAAAATAAAATTTCGTAAATAAAAGAAAGTGTTTAATGTTCATATATTTATAATGTATTATATTGTATATATTAGAATTGATCGACCAAAGAAAAAAATATTATCACCGCCATTTCGTTGCAGATGGTTTATATCTCAAAGTAATTTCTCAATAGTCTCAATAATAGTGAAAAATACCTCTTAAAAAATTGGTCTCATAATTGTCAAAATAGTGAAAAATTTCACTGTAATAAAAAAATCTCAATAGTGAAGATATGATAAATATGTAAAAAATTTCTTATCTAGTTTATTTTGTTGGGACAAAAAGAGCCGAAAAAAGATTACTTCAAAAGAAAACAGAAAGGCCAAATAAGAAAAAAAAATAATCTAAGAAAAAATTTAAAAAAAACATGTCAAAAAATAAAAAAAAGAAAAAATGTCAAGGAAGAGAAAAAAATAAAAACTCTACCAAAAGAAAAAAATAAATGTCCCTTATTTTTTAATCTTAATTCACTGGATATTCATAATTAATGAATATAATATACTCTGTATATTAATGTGATATATGCAACCATATGAATATCATGACAACAATCGGAAATTTTCTTATATACTCCGCCAGGAGTCCTGAAAATAATCCTAACATAAACACATAAAACAGAAGAATGCCTCCGAAAAGAAAAAATAGTAAAAATACTTAAACAATGAAGAAAAAGTAGTCTAAATAATATAAAAATACTTAAGAAATGAAAAAAGGGGCCTCAATAATAAAAAAAGTGAAAGCATTTACCTCCGAAATGTAAATGTTCTGGTGCAGGGGCACCACAAACACTACAACTGAGAACCAGGGGGGCGGGGGCTCTCTTCTTCTTGATCTGAAAAAAAAGTTGTTAAAATCTGTTCCAACGACCATTTATTTTAAAGTATGTAGCATCACGTGTCACTAAAATATAATATTTCTAAAACTCTAAAACGTGATGCAATAACATTTTAATGCATTCGTTAACAAAGGTCGAGAGTAAAAAATACAAAAAATACTTTCGGCAAGTTAACATTCCAGATAAAACGTTAGGCTCTCACAAACAGCGAATTCTTCAAGGGACTGTAACTGTAATTTCAAGCGACCCAACATAACTGAAGCGGCATTTCCGATTCAAAACGTTACCAGTACCCTTTAAAGCTTTTTATGATTAGTTTGAAACAGGTTTCTAAGAACTTGAATTAAAAACTGATTATTTTAATTTGTGGTTTCTATACAAAAGTGACTGGTACATTACTTGATTCAGAAACATCAGGATTCAGCACTTTTTAAGGAAGAAAAACGACGTTATCTTGCACATTTTTGATCAAAATAACGTTTTAAAGGTAAATCGAGCATGCCCCTCATCTTAAATTCACAGAACAGTCCTTTTAAACTATTATAATGTTCTCTGGTATGAAACTGAGAATATTTTATAATATAAGCAACAATTCATGATCTGACAAATCCCATCATATAAAAGTCAGAAACAAATATATGTATGAATAAATAATTGGATAAAAGAATAAAGAAACAAGTAACTAAATAAATAAACAAATATGTAAATCAGATTGTGTTGACAAAATTAAAGAACAGTACAAAAAAAGTTATTGAACCTTCTGAAAAAATTTTATTAGGAAAACATCAAAAACTTTCGTTACCTTGGCTTCGCCTGGTCCACTACCTCCCGACCCATTTAGAACACCTCCTCCTGGACCACTACCCCCTGGACCACTTGGACCACTACCCCCTGGTCCCTCAGGAGCTTCAGGCTCTCCTCCGATCCCCGGAGCTGGAGCTTGACTAGACATTTTGATTTTTTGAATTTACATTCTCCTGAAAATAATTTGAATTTAACATTCGTATCAAATTAAAATCAACCTTTATTGTATCAGATTCATAATAACCATCCTTAACCCGTACTATCTATAGAAGCAAGCTGTCAGGGTAAGCTGTCATAGAGAGAGAGAATTAAAGAAATATTATCCGGTATTCGGGCATTCTTAGGAGTTTTATCTATCCCCCCCCCTGCCAAGCTACGCCCGACGCCACCATTTATCTTTTTGTTCTTAAATGACTTAAATGGTTGTCCTTCACCCATTTATCTTTTCATCCTCCTATCCTCATACTTTATATTTACCCTAGAAACCAGAGGTCGTCCTCCTAAAGACGTCATGAGGACGTCAATAATTACCAGTGGGACGTCCGGAGACATCGTATTTTAGGTGTTGAGGACGTGTTGAGAACGTTTAACGCAAGGATTCTTACGTCCTCACGACCTAATTTTCGAAGTCGAAATGACGTCACTTTGGACGTCCAAATGACCAAACTAGTTATTTATTTATCCTATTTATTAACCACTGAACAGAACCTAATTTATTCTATGAGTACTGCTACCCTTTAACCCTCCCCCCTAAAATTAACTTAAGTAAGTGTATGTTCCATAATTTATACAAAATGTATAAAAAATCCGTTTAGTTATTTTGTGAACATAAATAATTGCATGCACTGATATGAAGTTTACACACACAACCCCGGACATTTATAGTTCCAAAACCTAGGTTTTAAAATTATAATACCGTAAACCTAGAAATTAGATCTAAAATATTAGGCCAGAAATGTCTAAAAAGTATAAATACTATCTAGTGAAAAATGGTGCAAGTGTGGAGCATGAAAGATGATGATATTGCAGTCTACGGCCAATAAAACTGTTATGCAGCAGATTTCCTTCTTTTATTACACTTTTATAACGTTGGCAAATGCAGTATCGGAGTACGGAGTAACAAATTTTTCAAACTAAGCAATCTAATGACTCGGCTTTTTCTGACATGGAAAATTTTAAAATTCAGAGAACTTTGCGGCCACTTCTTAAATGAAATTGCAACGTTAAATCATCTTGTTTAGTGCATGTGTTAAAACAGAAAACATAACTGAAAGCATTCACTTCACTTTATCGCTTACTATTTAATGTCGAAAAAAAAAATTTTAATTTAAAGCGAAACAAATTTAGTTAAGTGAGACTTCCCCTGAGTTCCCACGCCTCTAACCATGTGCTTTTTAAGATAAAATCTAATTTAAATCTTAAAACTAGTAAAGCATGGCGCCATGACAAACTACTGAAAAACAAAATAAACAAATTAAAAATTTCCGAACGACAATTTTAAAAAGTTTTTGTTTTCGAAAGACAAACTTCTGAAGGCCTGACTACTAAACCAACAAACTTCTGAAGGCCTGACTACTAAACCAACAAACTTCTGAAGGCCTGACTACTAAACCAACTAACTTCTGAAGGCCTGACTACTAAACCAACAAACTTCTGAAGGCCTGACTACTAAACCAACTAACTTCTGAAGGCCTGACTACAAAACCAACTAACTTTTGAAGGCCTGACTACTAAACTAACAAACTTCTAAAACCCTAATCTTTGAAAAAAAACTTCTAAAAGACTAAGTTTAGAAAAACACATCTCTAAAAGACACATTTCAAAAACTTTTAAAAAATAAAACTGTGAAAGATATATCTCTAAAAGAAAGACACTATTCTGAAAGACTATACAAGACAAAATTCTTAAATAAAACTTATAAATTTGCTTTAAAGGATAAAACTCGTGAAAAATAAACTTCTGAAAGACAAACTCCCATAAGTACAAACTCCTAAAAGTACAACCTCCGGTTTTATATAATTTAATAGAGAGAAATATTTATATGTAAGTGTGGATAGAGAGGCAAGAGGTTGAGAGAACAAGGAATGTAACTCTTCGAACTAAATTAAATCCATCTTATTTGATTGAAGTGTGAATTTACATGAAGGCATATGATTTGATCATGTTTGGGATAAAACTTTTCAAGACCAATTTATTCATTTTTACACTCCTCTCATAAATAGTTTGGGTGCTGGGGAGGCATAACATTGTTTTCCCTTTTAAAAAGTAGGTCGAAAAAATGTTGAAAAATATTAGCATGCATAAAAATGTTAAGGCTATATTAGATTTTTCTTATTTTTGATTTCACCCAGTACCGTCATTATCGTCTGTGAAAAAAAATGTTCTCCAAACTTTGCTCTTAAACTATAGGTTGAAAAAGTGAATGAGTTAAAATGTTCTAGTTCAACCCCTTTATAAGATCTGGAGACAAACTTAAAGTCTGCCAGAGATGGAATTTAAATAATTTGAGCCGCGGTTTAAATCCGCCAAAACCCGGTTTAAATTTAGCGCCGGCTTAAATCTTGAAACATTTGATACAATTTTAAGTGGAACCAACCATATTTAAACCGCGGCTTAAATTCTTTAAATTCGGCCACAGGGCGTATAAGGACTTGTTTAAACGACAGAAAACGTAATTTCAAGGGACAGTACTCTTAAAAGCTTTGTCTGATTAAGTAAAAATGTTCTTGAATGTTCTTGAAGAATGATTATTTTCATTTGTGATTTCTATCCAAAAGTTACTTGCTCATTTCTTACTTCAGAAACAATGCAGAAGTCATCAGAATTGAACACTTTTCCAGCAAGAAAAAATGACGTTATATTCCAAATAAACGGCCACTTAAAGTTACATCGACTGCAGTCCCTTTAAGAACAAGACGTCTGTCCCTTCCATCTGCAAAATATATCCCTGTCTGTCCCTTCCATCTGCAAAATATATCCCTCTCAACTAAAATCAAATAGGGCAATATAAAAAAGCTATTGGGCTTCTGTACGAATAAAAAGTTTATTTTCGATCTAATTGCATACCACGCCGTTGTGAATTCTCATGTAAACTCCTCAATAAGTAAGAATCTAATGAGGATTAGTTATATTCATATCAAATTGTTACTTATTCCACTGAAGCTTTAATGAAAGCACTTAAGTTTTACTTTTTTCAAAGAATCTTTAACGAAAGCACTCAAGTTTTAATCTTAAAAATCTTAAAATATAATTGGAATTTTTTTTTTTTAGAAAAAATGCCAATTTTGGCTGGTTCTTTGTAAGTAAGAATCTAATGATGGTTGAAAGTACTATTTGCAGGTTAATGTTTTGTGCATTCCTTCAAGGTTTTAGATAGGCACAGGTGGAGTGTGCATACTGCATATCAAGTTGAGGCGTTATATTTAGATTTGCGACGCTTTATGCAATAAGGTTTCCACCCCTAAATTGCGACCATGTTATAATAGAAAAAAAGATTATTTTCAACTGTTGTTTTTTCCCAGATATGACTTGCGCATTTTTACTGCTAATTTTTTTTGACACTTTCAATCCTGAAAAACGACAATATTTTCCAAATAATTTATCAAATTAAGGTTTCAAGGGTCCATTTGGCATTGCATTGCATTGAGGCTCACTTAACATTAAAGGGAGTGACCGGCTATGCAAGGTAGTTGAACTGAGTATGCAGTGTTGTGGAAAACTTCTTTCGGATTCATTTGACACATGTTAAACTTTTTTAAAGATCTGTAAATCTTGAGTTTGGGCGCAAATTCGACGTTCAAAACTCCTACTTTGGGGGTGGATACGTTTTCAGAATTAGTTAAATTAAATTTTTAAATAACGACGACATAAAATGTAAAAAAAGTTCTACAATAAACTACAGACGTCATGTATAGGAACATGTTGAGAAAATGAAAATTAATCTTATCGAAAAGAAGTAATCTAGTTCAATTACTAGTTTCTATTTTCTCATTATTCTGGTTTCTCATTATTCACAAAGATTTTCGCAGATTTTCTAGAATTATTATTGAAAAGACGACATTTGAAGAATTTGAAGAAATCTGAGAATAAATTCAAAGAAGATAAGAAATTCAATATAATAATGAAAACGAAATAATCGATTTTAGCATTGATTTTTTGACAAATTTCTTTTGAGAAATATGTTCCTAACCATCTAATTAGATTACTGTATGATTTTTTACTTTATTTTTCGTTGTTGTTATTTAATAATTAAAAAAAATTAATTCTGGAAACTTATCCACCCCAAAAGTAGGAGTTTTGAACGTCGAATTTGCGCCCAAACTCAGGATTTACAGATCTTTAAAAAGTTTAATATGTCTCAAATGAATCAGAAAGAAGTTTTCCACAACACTGCATACTCAGTTCAACTACCTTACATAGCCGGTCACTCCCTTTAAGCTTACAGTCCCTATAAATTCAACACAGAACAAGCATGGTAAAGTTTTCAAATGTCAAGCTAATAATTATTAAATGGTCGAGTTACAACGTTGAACTTCAAAAGATGAAAATAATATAATTGTAAAAAGAAATATCCTCCCCCCCCTGTCAGCTTGTTTCAAAAGTTCAGCATTATTTTTGTTATGGATGGAAAAAAGAATAAGAAGAACATACTGCAGTATGCAGTATTTGAACAAGTACCCATGCTATATAATTCTTACTTGCAAAACCCTACACACGTTATCATTATAAAGAATCTCAAATGCAACTTAAAATTGAAAATATGCAACTAGTGACATTTAAATTAAAAATAGAATCTTTTAAAGAGAGGATTCGCAAAAATTAAAACTTATGGAGTCTTAGATTAATTCAAAAGATTATAAAACAGAACTTTTACCCTTGGCTTTTCCTATCATTTTTAAGTAAACACTATCTCTTAGAAACACGTCTGAACTTAGTTTGCAAGATACAACTTGTAAGAACTGCAAAGCGTATAACTAGTTGACGAATAGAAGCCAATGAATCAAGCAGATCGAGACAAAAGTCCAAAAGACGAAACTTTTCTACGACAATGGCGCTTAGCGTCACGCAGCAACTTAACCTGATATGGACGACAGAAAGGTTTGAATTAAGGGTGAATACAGGGGCGTTCACAGGATCAATAACTGTTTTAAAGTTTGAAGAATCTAAAACA